ATATAGCTTATATATATATATATACACACACACTGTAAATACATATTCATATTTATATACATATACACACAAAAAAATGTGCATAAATAGGGAGAGAGGAAGAGATGGAAGGAGAGAGTCCAAGTTAAATGGAGATTTAAAATGTAATTTTCACAGTTATATGCACTAGCCATAAAAAGTACCAGAGGGAAAGAAGTAAACAATGTAGACAGTAGAAAAGTGCAATTAGTTTTAAATAAGTTTACTTTGAAAAAAGTAACACAGTTATTAAATAGTTTTCTTGAAAATTGCCTTTATTCTGGGACTCTCTAATATTTTCCATTTAGTAAATCCTTATGCATAAGTGCCTGCCAATAACCTCTGTATAAACATGCCAGCATCCACATTTCTAAACTTCATGACAGTTAAAAAGCAATTTATGAATATTTATGAAGGCAGTAAATTATTAAAATAAATATAGATATTTACACATTAGAACAACATCTTCATTTAACGGATGTGGAAAAAATGTTAATATGTGAACATTTTAAAGATGAAGTGGTTTGGCCTTCAGGGCTTTTGTTACTCTATTAAAAGTTAATTTAGGACAGGAATTATTGCTTTTTCTAGAATCCTAACCCCAAAAGATTAAATCATGATCAAGACTCACAACATTTTTCGAAAAATTAATCTGGTGATGGTATTTCCAGAGGCTGGATATTGAAACTACTGTGCAGTTCTCCCTGAAAGAAACCCTCCTCTGGCTTCTTTTATGTGTTCACAGTAGTGACATATACTCAGATGAATTTTAGGGCAGAGGAGCTGGGTGGTAGTGAGGTGGTTTCATCAGTCTTTCTGTCAACACACATTTTACACTATTAGAATATGTTTCGTGTCTACAAATACAGGAGGCAACTCAAGTTACTCTTTCTCAAGAAGGTGTTCTACATCACAGAAGTTATTTGCTTAATCACTAGTAATAAATTTCATCATTTTTTCCCCACATTCATGTATACTCGTATTAAAGGACATCAGAGAGTTTGCTCTGACCTCCTGTATGTAACTGATTCCTGAAGTTCACCAGTGATCCTAATAACCTGAGTTGCAGCAAATCACAAGTTTTCCTTCTTACCAGAACACCAGAAGGCAGTCATTTTCAGTCTGAAGGTGTGCAGAAGCAAGTATTCTACCTTGGTTTTGGTATTTAATTCCAGAAGTTGTGCTTCACTTCTGTTGTACATTTGTTTCATTTTTTTTTTTTTTTCTTCTTCCTTAATCCAGTCCCCTCTTCATTCAGAAACAATCCAGCTTCTACAAGCATCTCAAACCAGTCACAGGATCCCTTTAGGAGTAGCCATAGTAGTTTTAAATTTTACCTTCTGTAAGTTATTCAGCACTGCACCCTTTAGTCAAAGATGATTGCTCTTCTCAGTGATGCCCAATGGTAGGACAAGGGGCAATGGGTGTGAGCTGGAACACAGGAGGTTCTGCTTAAACTTGAGAAGGAACTTCTTTACAGTGAGGGTGACAGAGCACTGGAACAGGCTGCACAGGGAGGTTGTGGAGTTTCCTTCTCTGGAGACATTCAAGACCCTCCTGGACGCCTTCCTGTGTAATCTTGTTTAGGTTCCTGCTCCGGCAGGGGGATTGGACTAGATGATCTTTTGAGGTCACTTCCAATCCCTAATATTCTGTGATTCTGTGATGACTAGCACCATGGCTACACCAAATTAATGCATCACATGAGTACTTCCTGTACGCTGCACTGCTCAGTTCGCTGGCTTAGTTTGTGTTGGCACAGGAAATTGGCACTCCAGGTGCTGGGAGTAGTAGATTCCTAAACCTCTCAGTTGCATTTGAAAATGACTCTGCCCTTGCCACATTATAACTTGCTCCAGTCCTTGAAGCACTTCTGCCATTCTTTTCTCCCATTTTTTAAATTAATTTTATAACAGACTACACAGCCTTGCTCCCTTACTGATCTTAATAGTGTCATACCAATGGTAAAAGCCCTTTCTAAACCTCCACTCTGATTTTTTTATATATATATTAATACATATCTATTTTTATCTATTCTTTTTATCATAGCTATGTAAGCTCTACCTCACCCTGAGAGAATGCTCTTTATGATACTTTACCCTGCTATAAAGGTAGGGCCCATCTTCTTTCTTTTTATACGTATAACTTATCATGTGTCTGTAGTAATATAGTTTATTTGAAAAGGTCCAGCTTAGGGCATTGAGATGTGTCTGTGTGGCTCCGCCAATACTCTGGGAAATGTACCCACTGACATAGCTGCTGCCCCTCTTGCCCTGATCAGACACTACCTTCTGTTTCAGTGGAACAGAAATACAACACCCCCAATAAAATCTGAAAATCATATTACATTACAAAAATAACTTAGGGTCAGATTTCTACAAATCTCGTTCTCACAAAGCAGCTTAAATTTATGAACCTTAACAAATTTAATCAGAATTACTCACATTAAGGATTCAACTGCATATTCTAACAGCACATTAACTTCAGTCTTTCTGTATACTCCAAATTCCCTGTATATTCCAATTCCATGTTCCAATTCACTCCAAGCCCTGAACCCTGTCTGTTGGTTTCAGTGTGTCTGAAGACATGAGAGATGGGCCCAGTCTGAAAGACTGAAAGTATATGCTTCAAATTATTTTCACCCTTGGTCCTCCTCAAATTGTGTACCCTGTCCAATCTGCATAAAACACCACACTAAACTTCTATCACAAAAACATAGTCAGTAATACAATTATTTTTCCAAATATTCAAATTTCCATCACTTGGGCTTATTTCTATAAATTATCCCCTTGTACATCAAGCTGTTTTCTACCAGCACATACTTCTTTCTGTTAATGTGATGCAAATACTAAATAAATGTTCAGTTTTCATGGTGACTTTTCTGCCAACAGCAGGTTATTATTTATTTCAGGCTTTTTCCAATGGACTCAATATGGAGAGAAAGAACAGTCGAGATTGAAAAAAAAAAAGAGGCAAATTAAAAACACAAAAGGGGAAAATAGAAAAAAACACATGAAAAACACCAGTTGACGATGGCAGTGAGAGGCAAAAGGCATACCAATGTGAGGGAAAATATAAAGCTAAAAAAACAGAGACATGATTAAAAACTCTGTTATTAAGATAAAACCTTGGTGCAGGATCTATAAAAACAAGACTCACATCCAGAGTGAGATATTTGTGTAATATAAAGTAATAATAATGAGAAATTAAAGAACATTACAATGTGAAAAATACAAGTTAAATACAGAAATTAAAGAAAACCGGTAAAAAAAGTATACATATATATATATATAGTGACAGCTCTGTTATGAACTAGCGTTTTGTTTTAAATGTGATGTAAAACCAAGCACGTGGAAGACAGAGATAAGGAAAATATAGGCAGAGGGAAGTATCTGCTGAAACTGAAATGTGATAGTAAGTACGGAAACATAAACATGGGGGGGGGGGCGGAGGGGGGAGGATACAAAAGGGGGATTCAGTGGTGAAATACTGGGCCCATTTAAACCAGCAGGACTTGTTGTTTAAGGCATTTCTAAAAAAAAAAAAGACAGTTTACAACCTCAAAAACAAGAAATAACAAATAAAGGGCAAACTTCCTGCCCACGTGAGCAGAACACAAAAAGTAGGTTGGGGGAGTCATATTTTTAGCCCAGATCCTGAGTGTGCATTCAAAGTCAATCTCCTGATCATACCACACTTTGGTTCATATTGTGTGACGGATACTGAACATGCAAGAAGAATCTTTTGGAACAGTCGATGAGCATCATGAGCCTGGCTAATACCCCTCAGCCACCACTCAGCATTTACTTCTTGAGACCAGACCACACCCACCCCAAACTAAAAGTTTCTGAAATAACAGAATTGGCTTGATTGGAAAAGACCTTTAAGATCATCAAGTCCAATCATTAACCTCACACTGACAAGTCCCCGACTAACCCATGTCCCTCAGCACTATGTCTACACGACTCTTCAATCCCTCCACCCTCCAGGGATGGGGACTCCACTACTGCCCTGGGCAACCCCTTCCAATACCCGAGAACCCTTTCAGGAAGAAAATTCTTCCTCAGATTCAATCTCAACTGCCCTCGGTGCAACTTGAGGCCATTTCCTCTCGTCCTGTTACTTGGGAGAAGAAACCAACCCCCATCTCCCTAAACCCTCCTTTGAGGCAGTTGTAGAGAGCAACTGTTGTCAGCATCAATGTATCCTGTCCTCAGTGCCAACTGTTTTCTCCTACTCCTTCAGGCTGCATTACTTCCTAATTTGGACATAGTAAGTGCTTACAGGAGCACAAATTAAATTGGTAAAAAGTCCATCTCACAGACACTGCAGACAGTGCTATTACAGGAAACTGCAACTTTATCAGATTCCTACTTTATGAGCCCCAATTGCTATTTCATTGGTTTTGTCAGTTAGCGGTGAAATGCAGTATGAGATCTATTGGTGGAAATGATGCACAACAGCCAAGTTCCAACAATGATAACTGACCTTTCATGGGCATAATTAGATTGCATCTAAATAATTCAAATAAACAGCTAAAGCTACTCAGTTGAAAATGGCATTTTTATTGAGACAAATATTATTCCGATAGAAAAAAAGTATTAAGAGGTTATTTTCTGAACCTGTGTTGTGGTCCTGATTGTGCTTTCTATGGCCAAGAGAGCAGATACTGATTCTCTTAATTATAAGATCTGGAGTTACTGTTCCTTTATAATTGCTTTTGTGAATTGGGAATGAATTGTTTAAATATTTATTGGACTAGTGTATTTTCTGAAAGACAAAACAGCATTTTTGTTTATAAAATATTTGCAATAGAAAGCAGTTACTTGACATTTAGAGTTTAAATGTGGTTTATGTGTTGAGTCTAATGTACAAGCGAACCAGTAAGCTCCATCTCTGCACTCTATGCCAGACCTGGAGGAGAAAGAACAGATATAGACATACCCACCTAACACCCCTCCCCACACACAGCTGCAACCAACGAAGGAGGAACTAACCTTATAAAGCAAAGGTGATTGTCCTAGCTTCAAAAGTGCAATTTTTTTGGTAACGTTCATAATGGCTTGAACCCGGATCAAGTCTTCTACAGTCCCATACTGTACATCAATAAGTTCTGCCTGCAAAAGAGAAGACAAAGTTCAGGCTATGCCTTTACACATGTACCTCTGAGGGTGCTCCTTCAGAGAAACAAAGTTGTCTGCATAAGTACAAGCACCTGAGCAGAGTTCTGCAATTACCTTACCCCCACTTTCTAATCAGGAACACCTGTAGAGCCTGAGAATTCAATTTGACAGATAAATTTATACCTTTGCAGTTTTCATTCATAATTCATCAGCTGTGATAAAAACCTCATTTTTTTTTGCCAGTGGTTCTAATAAGTGGTACTGATTCTGATGAGACTTCCCTCTGTTAGGTACAGGAATGTATTTAAAGCCATGTAAGGAGTACTAACTCATTTATGTTAATTTTCTTAAAAGAAATCAGAGTCTTGTAAAGCATTTCAGAAAATGAGTAAATGATTATTCTGGTCACTTATGAAAATATATAGATAATATATAATCTACCAATATATAGTTTTATTATGTGGTCTCATGTAATTCCTGAGCATCCTACCTTTACTATTGAAGTATTTTCTTATAATCTATCAGTTATCCAAACATTATACTCAGATAACTATAGTGTTAACAGACTACACTGCTATGATACATCAGCTTTTCAATTAATACATTTTTAAAAAAGTATTTAGAGTCAATTGCAACTAAATTAAAAGTGTTTAGATCACAAAGATCTTCAGCTCTTCAGTTAGGACACTGCAAGAATATGTAGTAAAGGTCTAAACTATTATTGAAAGTCAAGAACCGGCAGTGATGGAAAAATACTTCAAGATGGGTTTTGAAGGGTTTTTATAAAATATATGTATATGATTTAAGAATGACCAAGGGCATTTTTCTCACACATTTATAGCAATAAATTCTGGTGAAGACCAACTGTGAGCATAATCAGTCTTGTACATTATTATTTTAGGATGTTATGAAGCTCTCAGGACACCATCAAGGACATTCTGGAATCTCTAAATCCCTACACAGTGTTCACGAAAACAATACAAATACAAGAGGACATAAGAATATTACATGAGTGTTTAAAAATTAAAATAAGAGGAGCAGTACAAACGAAAAAGTTTCTCTTTCAGTTCAGTTTTGGTAACTTAAGTTTTTATTCATTGCCAAAGGCAACAATTCTGATTTTGGGTATCTCTATACAAACTGTTTAAATTCTTGCAACAGTTGTTCTGGATACATAGGATGTGTGAAATTTTACTAGATTCCTAAACACAGGTGTTTTAGGAAAGTATTTACCTATATACAATTGTATCTGAATAGTTTGGCTGAGTTTGCACCTCAACATTTAAGTTGATATATTTAAAAAATTTTGCCAAGGTTTCTGTCTTCTTCAATGTATTCATTTAAATTTGCAAGTTAACAAGTTTCTAGTCTGTAACAGGTCATTAGTGCTGTATAAGCCAAGTATTTAGAAAATTCAAAGTTATAAAACAGTTATGGAACAAACATCAGATTTAACACCAAATACAGAAATGTAAGAACATAAAATCTTGCATTTCATAGTTTCTTCTGAAATATGTGGGGTTTTTAACATCTAAAGAACTTGGAAACTATTTTGTAAGAAAATTCAAATGGTGACTACAGGCTGAAATCCAATATAAATTTTTCCTGTGTGATCATTGTATTTAGAAAGTATAATAAAATCAAGTTAAGTTTTTATACTAGCAGAGGCTATTTTTTATTTTACCTAATCTGATTCCTTCTTATAAAGGTTTCACTTCAAATGAGGGAAGGGAATTAACCAGTGCACTTCCTTCAAGCTGGCACAAATTTTACCTCATTCTGTAGATCTCAGCTTTATCTCAATTTGTACCTACGGACATGTCAATAGATACATTTTAGCACAATAATTATTAGAGTCCCGAAAGTCTTACAGCTTGAGAGGTTATATGTAGGCTGTTTTCTGAGGAAACCTCTGATCTGATTCCTTTGGACCCAATGCCTTTCCCACTTACCCTCAAGCAAAATGAAAATCAGAACTTTTATCATTCATATGAGAGAAACTACACTGAATTTTCCTGAGGCAAAATCAATACAGAAAGATAGAACATAATGAAGTATCAAACCATTTGCTTTTACAGTATGCCTGTGTGAAAATAAGATCCCTGCCCGTCTACGTTCATGTGCTGCTTCTCTTCACATCATTTTTGCTAGCTGCTCCTCCAGGGTGCTATCCACCACTCTGTAAACAACAAAACTACATGTTTGCACAATTATTAATGCACTTAGCAACTGCCCTCGGATGTTCTTAGTTAATTTATGGATGCAAACTGCATCTTCAAGAGCTCCTCACTGGTCTTTCCAAGGCAACACAGAAGCTCAACAAGAGCAAGCTGAATATAAGGCTCTACAAAAAAAGCACAGCTCATTTTTTAATTATGTGAGAACCAGAACTTGACTCCCTGCTGTCCCAAACACTCTGCAAACCATGTTCTTTACTCCAAATGATAAGGTAAGCCTCAATGCCAAAGCTATTAAATACACTGATACATTGAAAGTACATGTAAGAAGTCATATTACATAATGAAAAAGCAGCTGGGTGTAATATAACAAAATGTGCTTCCATCACACATCTTCCACATGAAGGATGTGTCAAAGCTCAATACATTACAAGTCTTTCTTTTGCACTTGTCTTAAAACAAGCATGACCTAAGCCTCTTGTTCCTGTTCAACATTAGGGGTACTTGCACGCTTATATTTTGCTGTAACTTCTAAGTGGTTGTCTTCTCATCACAAATCTTTGACCGTTAATTTTACCTTTTTGGGTACAATACTGAAAATATTGCACATGTCTAGAAAAGTTATCACATCCTGGTAACATCACATATAGCCTAGCAGCTGAAGGTTTTGCACAGCTAATCTCAGATGTAACTTCAGTTAAAATGACAAAAAAACAGAATAAAATCTTCTCTTGAGTAAAACTACACATGGCTCCGCCCTTCTCAAATGAAGTCAATAACTGACTGGAAGAGTTTAGAACAAAGTCATAACATTGTGGCAGTACAGCCCACAGACTAATAGGTAAACATTAAATAATAAAAATAGATTTAAAAGTTATTTACCCCATCCTTTCTTCTACACTTGAATACTTTAGTAAATTTTGTAATAAAAAGCAAAATGTTTTGCACTACTTAACAACATGTCATCAAATACATTACAGTAACACTAGCTCAGTCAATTTTGATTTTATTTAACACACTGGGGCCCAAATAATTGGACCCTTTACTTTTAGCATAAAATAAAATATTGAAAAAACACACTTTTAAAATAATGTTAAAGAAACCTATTGAATCCAAAGAGTGTTACCCTCTCAATAATCCACTGAGAAATTAACAGTGCATTTATGTTCCATTATGTACTGTTTTAGACACAACATTCCTAACACCTCAAAAAATGAATAAAGTCTAAATTTTATTTCTTTTTTCTTTTTTTAGAAATGCTTACAACATGACATAATCCTCATTTTTCACATTCCAGATTTTAAAAAAAGCACAATACCCCACCCCTAACTAACCATATTTCATAAACTGCTTTCCTTTGGTAGGACAATTCTGTTAAAAAACAATTCTCTTTGAACTGTTTCATGCTATGCCATTTGAAAGTCATGACTATTTAGGAGCAAATTGCAATGTGCAATATGGAGTTCATAGTATTCCCACATGCATGAAATGAAGTAGGGGTAGGTAATAAAACAAACATTTTTAGAAAAAGTAATTATTTTATGTTAGACATACTAGTAGTTTCCAAGTCCCAAGACGATGCTCAATTAGTTGTAAACATTCTATCTTAAAAATATGATAAAATCCCTCCAACACAGAGAAGACAAGCACTCTGAAATGCCACAATCAAGACAGTCAAGGATCTTTGCCCAATTTCTTCTATTTATTTCCAAAATGAAAGAGAATAAAACAGCATACTTCATCCAGTCATGGATGAAAAAGAATAAGACAGGTCTTGGAAAGGAAAAGTATGAATAACTGTATGAAGCAGGTGGCAGCTGGGGTCTTGAAGATGCTGGATACTATTTTAAAACTTTGTTTCTTTGCTAATGCTGAATTTTTTTATTTTTTTTTTAAAGCATAAGTTAAATAGATAAAAAATAATAATGGAAATGTTTGCCATATCACTTTGTTATCATTCAGTCCACTTGAATAAGGAAAGTAGTTTACCAGTAGCATTATACATCTCCATTCAATACACTGGCTAAGAGGCAGGTGGTGGCTGATTTACCAGGGGCACACAAGTTAGGAAAAAGATTAAGGGAAAAACCCACAGGAAGAAAACCAAAACAAAACAAATAAACAAAAAACCTCAAAGCCAGTACACCCAAAGAAGGGATGTTTATGATGACCACCAAAATGTAGATGGAGTCTGTGCAGATAAGAAGGTAGCTCTTAAATGCACCTGCTCTAGCTATCAAGGCTGGGAAGCCCAGGGCAGAAAAGCACCACACCTAAGCAAATAGTTTTACTACTGTTTCTTAAGAGAATACATTAAGGTCAGTACTGAGCAATCTCAAAGAAATCTCATCTAAAAGGTTTAAATTTATGCAGAGAACAAAACCAAAAGCAGCATACACAGAATGGCTGTGGTGAAAAACCATCTCTTCTTAATGTTATCTGTTGTTAGTGCCACAGTTCAGCAACCTCAAAGTATGAATATGTTTTAGCAAATACCAATCTGTTGACTCATATCAATGAACAGCTTCTAGACAAACTATGTGGGAGGTCAGGACCATAGACGCTGCAGCTATGAAAATGCAGCTATTCAGTAGCGTAGTCAAGCTCACATTCCTGACAATTCCATCCTACCCACCAAAGCAGTGTCAGAAATGGATGAAGAAACTCAAGAAACTCCAAGTATTGAAGAAAACTAAATATTAAATGCCAAGTATGCAATATATTTAGGATTGCTTATTCCTTAGAATTAAGACAATTTCTCCAAAAGGCACATGTGTAATTCTAGGAGTATCAAAACCTCAGTTCTGCAACTGTTCA